AGGAATGCCCTGTTCTTTTGCGAAAAAGCATAGAAGAACTGTTTCCAGAATGCTTGGATGTGACCTCATCGCAACTCACCATTATAACTATTCGTCAAAAGGCAAATCTTAACTCAATGAGATGGCGTAAAGAAGCGGAAACAGAGAAACTTGCCAAATATGTGAGCTAAATATATATTGTAAAGTAATATATGACAATTGTATGAATAAAATTCAAAAATAGAAAATATCTATGAAATACATATATATTAGTCTATTAGTTTGTTCTAGCAGCCTGGAATATATGCACTAAGCTCAAAATGGCTGGTTATTGGGCAGACTTTATTAACCCTTTTAGTGGACAACCCCACTTGAGTTCACGAAAGAGCGTCAACTTATATGAAACCGATGAACGATTTCGCTGTATAGGATTTAAAGTAAAGCAAAGAAACAATTGCAAGATTATTACATTTGACAATAGTCTACAAAATTTTATTGGTATGTAAATAGCTGTTCATGATGATTGATAATGATAGTAATCTGCAGTATTTTCAAGATATGGATATATTTGCAGTTTTATAATAACCTTTTACTTATTTTTTTGCTTATGACTACAAAGACTTTGTAATATTCAGTTTGTATTATCGCATTACAATTTTCCCCTGTCGATTTCAGGAAGCCTTTATACTACAGCGCCGCCAAACACTGAGTTATTAGAACAAATAATTAACGATGGTGATGAGGATCAATAAAAATATGTATGTGTACATTATATATATAAAAAAAAATGTTTAGTTTACTTATATTGATAGATCGTCTATCCTCAAAATTATAAAAATTATTACGCATTTCTACATATGCATAAACGATTGAAAAATATGATGGAACAAACAATAATTCGCTGAATTCTGGTTGTATATTTTGTCGATATATTCTCAATCAATGCATTAGTGGAGTACGCCTTACATCGTCGTACATGCTCGTAAACGATCCACATTTATTTAGTGAAAATATTAATATTGTAATTAAAGTTTAAAATTATAGGTTTTATTGGTCTTATTTTATTGGTCTTATTTGAAAAAATCCTTTCAGTAATTATGGATAATAATATATTTTTTTATTTATATAATATATGCATATAAATTTACAAAACTGCTTATAAAACTGTTATTTCTATCACACGCCGTTATTCTTTTTAAGATAATGAATATTAAATAAAATATGTTCAAATTGTAAGAGCCTGTATATATTCGGCACAAAATGTGACCGTCCGATATCTGTCTTGTATTAATTTATAAATTTTCATGTTAGAAAAGTCAAATCAGAATTATATATCACATTTTTCATTCAGTGGGTGTGAAATATCAGTGAAAATATGTGGGCCATATAATTGAGATTCGGTCACAATTTGAGTATAATTAGAGTAACTAACAATGACTAAATAATCACAAGATTACAATTGTACATTACAAATCCACAAGAAAATTTCTTATCAAACATCCCAGAGTTTTATTTTATTCACTAAAACCAACTAAAAACTTCAACGAAAATGTAATTTCACAAACTTTAAAGTTTATATATATATGTATATATATATATGCTTAAGCTAAGAGAAGCTTTGTGCTTTAACTCAAATATAAGTATATAAAGTAACTGCTAATTAAAACGATGCGAATGCACGTTTCATAATTGCAACAACAAAGGAACGGTAGGATTGTGTCAAGTCACAATTTGTTTTAAGATATAGTCAAGATAATGACTTATAAAGGTCATAGGTAACTTGGTACCACCGGCGAAACGAATATTAACTCGCTCGTATACGCTAGTGAGTCTTAACTGTTACATGAGAAAGACTTATTGCATAAGTTAATGGATACTATTCACACAATGTTTTATGAGGGGTTTAGCACATAAAAATATAAATTCCCTTATACTTATTTCATATACAGATCCGATTGTACCAATGTTACTTAACGCTAAACATTTAACATTAAAATTTTTTTTTTGTTTAATGTAAATAGAATCTAGAAAGAAAACGACTATGTAAATAGCATTAAAACCAGTTAGTTAAGATTCTTGAGATGTATTTATAAATCGTATGCATTACTCGTTTAACATATTCATAATTTGTATGTCACAATATAATGACATATTTCTATACATAAATGATTTTGTGCTGAAAAAAAAAAGGATAATAAAGTATCTCAATTTTTATCAAAACGATTGCTCCTTGATACATGAGATGCAATCACACGAAAATAGCTATTAAAATTAAATGCTATCAATATGAGATTGAAATAGAAATAAATTAGCCCTCAGTCGACTTCTAACTTTCGAAACGAACCGCATATTCCGCCTAGCTCTTCGTTATTAGCCGTGTGACAATCTTTTAGTGAAATCTCGATGTACATATCGTCGAGAGCTTTGAGTTGTTCTTTCTTCTCTTTCAGATCCTTTTTGAATTCAGCTGGAAGATAGACATTGTGAAGGAAAAAGTAAAACAATATAAAAGCATATTCAAAATTCAAAAGAAAAAAATTACGAGAGAAATCCCCCCATACCGATCATTTCCGAGAGCGGAATTTCCCCTCCGTATTCCTTCGGCAGTATTTTCGGATCTATCGCTTCTCTCAGCTCCTCTATATCCTTGTGTATCTGCCAAGATACATTAGAAACGTTATTTGTCAGTCATGTAAATTTACATACGGAGTCATAATTCGTGATGTTTACCATAACACGAGACTTGAGCTTATCATTAAGCAGCGAAATGGCGAACTCAACGATCTTCGCCACGCTGCCCGGAATATTGATGAAGTGCGTCTCCTTGTGACGTATCGGGGTGCTGTTCTGTATGCATCTCAATATATTGCGAATGTCTGTGAAGGACCACGCGCTGAGATGGCTCATGGTCAATCCGGACTCGTCGTTGAGATGTGTATAACCGCGGATCTGATTCTCCTCGTCGTCCATCAGAGTCTCCACCACCATGCTGTGGATTCGCGCCATGTGTACCGACGAGAATTTGCAAGGATCGAAACGTCCTTAAAAACAGAAAAATAAAGTAAAGCAGATATCTAATATATTCGGAGAATAATATAATAAAGTTATAAAATAGAAAACATGCTGTATTAATAATAATTTAAGATACGATCTAAGAGAATCGTGAAGTTCAAAAAACAAAATATATTATGATTATATAATCAACAATACTATACAGCAAACTTAAATCTAAAGTTTAAAAATCTTTGTAGAAATAAAAAGATAAAATAAATTGATTGTCAAAATCAATATTACCTATTAGAAAGATTAGAATTATATATATAATTTTTAAAATATCGTTTTTTTAACTGAATTTTAAACTAATCTTTGGACTTTTGCATTTTCAGGATCATTACCTGCACACGACAGTATCACTTTTCGACCATGCTGATCCCGTTTCGGTAAAGGTACCAGGTAGCCGCTGTCGATGATGGCCTCGAGCTCCGGGTCATCGATGTCGAGCTTCTGAAACCAGTCGGGATAGAGTTGTCTGATGGTGAGATAGCGTTCAAGCATCTCTTGTGCCATCGGTAGACTGAACTTCTTCGTCCTGAGGAATCTCAATAGGAATAGCGAATCGGTCCTACACTTTTTGATCGCGGGATGCTTTTGGATCCAATGACGGAACTGCTCCAAAGCCTGTTCCCTCGTGTTGTCATCCTCGCGAAGCTCCAGTCTGGCCGCTTCCAGCGTGTCCACGTCCAACGTGCTCTTGTACTCGTACTCTTCTTGCTGCCCCTCCGTCACCATTGTCTGAAAAGTAATTCGAGCTTGACATTCTATCCCAATGGGTCCTGTGTCCCGATTGAACAACGTTATCCCGGTGTTATATCTTTCGAGAAACAGGAGCCATGTAAGGTACATTCGGACATATATTTAAATTGATTGAACTAACTAAACACTAATTTTTTTATGAAATTAAAATATGGTAATTAATTTTATTTAATTTATAATACTGAATTCACAACATAAAACGAGGTAACAATGTGTATAATTATTACTAAAGATGTAAAAAAATCATATTAATAAAACGAGAAAATCGAATTAGGATTCTTGGTCAAATTATTTTCTAGGAGTTGTTAATACGATATGGAGCGTAAAGAGAAAGCAGACAGAGTATCGAGATATTACAGTGTGCAGTCTGTAATAGAGAATTGTATTAGCGAAGATATAACGAAGATCAAAAATTTACATAAGGCATTTGACTTTTGATATTAAAGATTTGTGTAACGATACACAAATAACATTTTTTGCTTTAAGTTTATTTTTATTCTTATATTTATGAAATTAAGTTCTACAAACAAAATACACATTTAATTATTAATAAAAATGTTATTGTTTATAAGTTTTAGATAAAATAAAAAAATAAATATAATAAATTAACATTCTTTCTATTCTTTTCATATTTAAAACTAAATTTTTAAACATAATTTTTTTATATCACGATAATTTTAATATTTAATTAAATAATTGGATATTTAATTAATAATTTCTTGTTGTAAAAATAATTCTAATGCAAGCGCATATTTCTGATATCACACAAACAATTTTAAATTAACAATACCGAGAGTTTTCATTTCATTATTTATTTTGAAAAACTATATCCAATGTGAGAGAAATTATTTTTATAATTCCGCACGTGTATACGATGCTTAAACAACTCGCGGAATGAAAGTGAGACATCGAAAGGAAGTAGTATACGAAGGGGCCTCAACAGCTATGCATAACGAGAACACACATATACACACACGTTTCACGATGTACCCAACTTTCTATCGCGACATCCGAAGCGCAATACCGTAAACGTGCACCAATGCAATATTGTTTCAATCCGAAAGTAGGTACGCAAATTAATTCAATACTTTTATCCATTAAAATAATTTAGATTTAAATATTTAAATTTAAATAATGTGGTCTTGAATTGCTGCTATCAACGTTCACAAAACGCCGTATGAAATGATAATGCAAACGATCTTATAAGATACGTAATAAATAAGAAAACAGCATATATTTAGCATTATATAATATTTTGTTTGTGTTTTAATTTTAAAAAAATGCTACTGAAGTCACAAAAATATTTCTTCGGTTTTTAGTGTAGGTATAGCAAATTCTAAAATATGTAAGAATTAATATCAAAAATTTCGCGATGGAAACTTGGATTTGAGAGGTCAACCACATTCCGGTTAGAAGCCTGAAATTTTTTTTTCGCATTTGAATTAGGCAAATGACGTAAGGACATTAAAAAATGCTACTGAAGTCACAAAAATATTTCTTCGGTTTTTAGTGTAGGTATAGCAAATTCTAAAATATGTAAGAATTAATATCAAAAATTTCGCGATGGGAACTTGGATTTGAGAGGTCAACCACATTCCGGTTAGAAGCCTGAAATTTTTTTTTCGCATTTGAATTAGGCAAATGACGTAAGGACATTAAAAAATGCTACTGAAGTCACAAAAATATTTCTTCGGTTTTTAGTGTAGGTATAGCAAATTCTAAAATATGTAAGAATTAATATCAAAAATTTCGCGATGGGAACTTGGATTTGAGAGGTCAACCACATTCCGGTTAGAAGCCTGAAATTTTTTTTTCGCATTTGAATTAGGCAAATGACGTAAGGACATTAAAAAATGCTACTGAAGTCACAAAAATATTTCTTCGGTTTTTAGTGTAGGTATAGCAAATTCTAAAATATGTAAGAATTAATATCAAAAATTTCGCGATGGGAACTTGGATTTGAGAGGTCAACCACATTCCGGTTAGAAGCCTGAAATTTTTTTTTTCGCATTTGAATTAGGCAAATGTGGTAAGATTTTAAAAAAATGCTACTGAAGTCACAAAAATATTTCTTCGGTTTTTAGTGAAGGTATAGCAAATTCTAAAATATGTAAGAAATAATATCAAAAATTTCGCGATGGACTTTGATTTGAGAGGTCAACCACATTCCGGTTAGAAGCCTGAAATTTTTTTTTCGCATTTGAATTAGGCAAATGACGTAAGGACATTAAAAAATGCTACTGAAGTCACAAAAATATTTCTTCGGTTTTTAGTGTAGGTATAGCAAATTCTAAAATATGTAAGAATTAATATCAAAAATTTCGCGATGGGAACTTGGATTTGAGAGGTCAACCACATTCCGGTTAGAAGCCTGAAATTTTTTTTTTTTCGCATTTGAATTAGGCAAATGACGTAAGGACATTAAAAATAGCAAGGATTATTTTGATATAATTAAAATTGTGTGTGTTCTTCTATTCTAATAATAAATAAATCTTAATTTTTGTTTAAAAAGCATTGAATTAATTTGCTCACTTAATATATCGAAAAAATAACAATCTCGAAATATCTTAAATATCTATCGAATATATATTATTGCAAAAGATTATTGCGAAAGAAGAATTGCTACTGTCAATGGAAAAGACAATGTAGATAGTGAGAAAATTATCGCGCAAACTCGATGGACTGATTACATTGATCTACTTTTATTGCGTTCGCTGAACGTTTTTATCTATCCGCGAAAGAAACTCTAAACTGTATGGCTTGTTAGAAACTTTAATTCGATTTTTCGATTAATCGGTCAATTTAACAGTTCCAGTTTCTTGCTCTTGAATTTTTCGACATCCGCATTTTTCTTATCCTTGTTTTCCCTTCGTATATTCTTTCAATTCCGCATAAAGCTTAATTTATATTTGGATGAATACTATCCTTTATCTAATTTGTTAAAAAGAGAAATATTTTATTTTATTTGTCTTTTGAAAAACGCCTTGTTAACAGGTACTTTTGATAATTTGTTTTTTAATAATTAGATATCTAAGAATTCTCGTTTTTAATTATTACATTTATTCAGAGCCGCATGTACTCGTTATTCATATATATAATTCCATATATAAAAAGTGGTTTTAATTATATCAAATATTTTACTCACACGCACTTGACAGATTAATGTATAATTAATATTTGATTAATATTTGATTAATTTTTTTCAGTAAAATTAATTTTGTCTTCCTTCCCCGAGATAATTTCCTTTTTTTTCTTCTTCTCTTTACGTTTCTTCAAGAAATTTTAATTGTTGCTAGATTCTATCGAATCGAAATCATCCAGCCGATTGAGATTTTCAGTCGATGTTGCACTATTTGATTTCACTTGATGACTCGGTTTAGAGAACACGTTTATCCGTGACGCGGAACGAAAATCCGACTTAACACACAGTATGAAACGAGAAATAGATGTTAACTGTCGAGCGATGTACACCAAAGTAACCCGGCTGCTCGATCGGCTGGTCAATTTAAGGCGGGATTGTCGTGGTGGTGCTGACTCTCCAACATGAACGGACTCTCAGGACCTTCACCTACATATTGTCAACGTTCTCCATCTCTCGCTCACACTCACGCGATATCTACTGCTATCTATTATATATATATATAATAATGCCAATATGTATTATCAATATATTGTATGTACGTAAAGAGAGAAAAATTCTTTATATATATATATATATAGAAGAACCAAATATATCTGTATTTACTAATTCCATTATGGATAAATAACTAATCAATTTAAATAATTTTAATGTGTGAAATTAGAATCTATGTTTTTTTAAAACTTATTAATAATTTTTTACATAAATATTGATTTTTAATTTCTAAATAAAATTGCAGTCAAGACAAATTCAATCATGTGGTCTTTTTCAATATTGTGTATATGACATAAATTTTGAATAAGTTACAATGCGTGTTCTGTTTTTATTTTAATCCATGAAGAGATAATCATACCAATAGATATTTTAATATTATTTATGAAAAGTTTCTCTAATTTACAATTAGCGAAACTTTTTAAATTTTCAAAAATTCTTCCTTCAATTTTATGACTATATATATACCAGTATATATATGAGATTAATATTTTATAAATAGTAATTGTTCATATATTTTATTAATAAAAATAATAATTTCTTTTTTCTGAAAAGAATTCTTATTAAATGTATGATTCGTGGAATTTATTTGCAATAGTAATTAACGTAGAAAGGATCCATGAGAGTTATTAATATCCCGTCACATAATATCCACATTTAAAGCTGAGTTGGCTGTTACTCATTTGCATTAATAAATGCGAATTGTCAAATGCAATAACTAGTATTTATGTAATGCTGAATTTAATCATACATCTGTTCCCATCGAATATAATTTTAAAATTAAATAAAGAAAAACATAATTTTGTAGACTGCTACAATCTAATGCTGTAAAGATAGTAATAAAAATATAAATGTTGTTATTTTATATAAGCTCTTGTACTTACGTATATATATATGTGCAGTTTAGTCACATAAAAATGTATAAAAATGTAAAACATGTAATCTTTATATAAATACATTCTGTTCATACTTTCACAAAAGAATCTAAAAATAATTCATATTTCGTGCAATAATTTCTCTTACTTTCTTATATGTATATTGTAAAAGTCTAAAGCAATTTAGGTCACATAAAAGAGAAGAAGCACGTTTTGTTAATCGTTATATCAAGTGAGAAAGAGATTGTTGCAAAATTTTTGTTAATATATAGTAATTGGTCACGTATATACGAATTAAAGTATCGTATTACTTTCTTATACATAAAAAGCACCAAAGAAGCTCATCATTCTTGAATGCCAACACTGCTGAAGGATTCACTTTCTTTTCGTAATCTTTCATTTTACTTTCACTCGCTCATTCGAGCGACGATTACCGAGCGTTCTGATAAATATCACGATTATTTTTTCATTTCACATCTAGTAGCATACAGATCTATATCATTACTCTTCGCGCAGCACGATAAATTTCGTCGGAAAAATTGATAAACTTGATGCAATTCTCTTTAGTTCGGTTTTCTCGTATTTCCTTAATGCAAAATGTGAAATATAGTGAATACTTCTCTTGTCGTATATTGAAATACAAGAGGAAATATTTAGAGAGAGAGAGAGAGAGAGAGAAAATCTCAAATAAATGAAATTTATTATGTAATATTTTTTTAATTTGACAGCGTGGTTGACGTTACTATAAATTATCTTTATAAATCAGAATAAATATACCGTTATAAGCCAAAGTTTAAAAATTATACATAAAGATAATGACATATAAAATTATTTATCTTGTGAGATAGATAAAACTTGTTGACAGATAAATAATAATTGATTATTACCGTAACTTTTTTTAGATTTCAGGCATGACGTATTTGCAAATGAAATCACGTATTTATAACGACCGCGGAAAATAGAATCATTTGACTTGTTGACATTGATTTTTGTTAGGTTCATGTTAGTTATTTAGCATACGAAGAGTCTTGCCAAGCATTTTGGAAAGAGATTCATGTCTCTAAACCTGAACAATAACGGCTTATTCGTTAAATGTTTCGAACTTATTGGATATTGAGATTTGGCTTTAGAATAACAAATCTACTGTTCATGTTCGCGATTACCGAGTAAGTCTGACAAGAAACGTTGAAAGAAATGCTAAGAATAATTTTGTCCTCTATAGACTAGAACTTTCCAGACAGCACATGTCTTTAAAAAATGTCTAAAAGACATCTTATTGTCTTTTAGACATCTAAGATATTTATCTTTTGGCTTTTCTGTGCTGGGTTATGATTATACAAGAACTTTGTGGTTCAATGTTTCTTTTTTCCATACAAGATAGCCCCGGTATTCAATTTGCCTAAATGCGAGATGAAAATCGAATCTGTCTCTCCAGTTTTGCCAGCTTACTAATTTTGGTGTACATGTAACGGAAATGCGCAAAATTGTAGCGTCTGATTAATAAAAACAAAGATAAAGACTCTAAACTCGGATAAACAGGAATTCTATCTACAAATTATAATAAAAATTTATTCTTTTTTATCCTTTTTTTCGTGAAAACATGCAAGGAAACACGGATGTCTAGAAAGCGAGGAAAAGCTTCTCTCATCAACTCGGTTAGGCCCGTTTGGATAATCAGGCGCTTTATTCCGCCTTTTATTCTGTGAAATTTAACCGCAAATGCTACAACCGGACGTACCGCATGCCTGCTTACCGTTATGGCTGCGTAAATTATTGCGTAATATCCATCGTTGGCACAGTACAATGTTTCTTGACAACGCGTCGGTGAAAGTCACAATACACGTTTATATATATATCAAGGCATACGCCTTTCTATTTCTCTCTGCATTTTTTGATATTAGAATTCGATAAGTATTTCTCGAAGTTTTCTCTGCTTTGCGATGTTACTGATGTGTGGATTAAAAAAGCGATTAATGTGGTTGAGTGTGCTGGGCACAACGCGAGTCACGTAAGTTTATAAAACAAGTTCTATACTGTAAGCAAAAATTGTCAGATAATCGAATCAATTATCAGATAAAATTGTTAGATTGTCGAAAGCTACATTAATTTCAAAGTCACACGATGATCATTTGAGAGTCACAGTAAAAGTATTATAAAAATTGCCTTAAATTATAAAGTTACATTAAATATTTATATAAAATTTAAATATTAATTATATTTTTAAATTACATATCTTTTATTTTGCGAGAATTCAATCTTCATATTTTGTATTAAAAATTTTTTTAAATTTTTATTTTTTATATTTGAATTATATTGTATCTTTTTTAATCACATATAAAATTCTTCAATAGCGTCGGATCCAAGAAAGTAGAAATCTCGACGGGATTGTTTTATAACCGTAACGAAACTTCGAGACCAATTATGTATAGACTTTTAAATGAGGCTCTTAAATCAATGCGTATCCATCAATTCAGCAGTGAAGTTCATATGCAATTTATTGTGCCCATCGTGCGAAAAATAGGATAAAGAGAGAAAATTCGCGGCATGTAATATTCATAGACATACTTGCACATTGATAAACGGTACAAATAAAATGATTAAAGATAATAAAAATGACTGAAAATATGTATATACTAGAATATATGTAGGAAAATATAGAATATCATTTTATATACATTGTTAAAATATTTTATGTACCTTGTTAAAATGTATAACAGATGTATATATATTAAAAGTTTTGTTTTTAAACGACATATTTATTATTATTCTTATGTTGCATTTTATTTGCACTAGAATAAACTTATCTAGCAGTATATTTGAAAGAATAATTAATTAATAATAATTTTTTTTACGAATGTCATTTTATGCACATAATATTAATTAGTCTTTTTTAAGATTTTACTAACTTTAATGTTTTTACTAATAAAGTAAAAAATGTTGTTTTTATGTTTTTTAGCGAATTGAATAAAGAATGACGAGACTGATAGCTTATCACTTTGAAAAGCGTCTGAAATATTTTCGTAACATTTATTATACATTTGTATATATTTGTGTGCAGACGCAAAATACTATGAAATTTTGATCACCCAATTAATGTGATTATCATTGAACATATGATCATCGTACAAGTTTGAAAGTTTCGTATCATCTGAGTGGCTAACAAAACGTTCCAAGAATGCTTCAGCCGCTGCACTTTCTCCGACGACCCTAAAAGCTGACGATGCTCATTGAAACGAAAGTGCAACGACCTCGGTTCGATCTTAACGAGACAGTCTTATACTATTAATAAAATCCAGAATACGGGTATATATCGAATTAGCGATGCAGGTTGATATTTATATTATCACTTTTTCAATATTTAAAACAATGATAAAACTTAAAGAAATTTAATCTTAAAAAAAAACTTTGCCTTTATATGCAAGGATAAGATTTAAAGGTAATAATGTAAATATCATAGCCTGAATATATATATGTATATATGTTACGACAGGTCAAAATCGTCTATCGTAAAACGTCATCGAATAATATGAAAAACTACATGTTTCGTCTCGATTGTTACACCTAATTATAGAAACTTCGCGACGACACATTTGTTGTTATGGCTTCCAATATAACAACGCTTTTTCGCAAAGAATCTTGCAATCGCACTATGACTCACCCACGATCCACGTAATTATAATAATAAGACAGATTTGGGGCATTTGGGAAAATTAAAATAAAAATCATTTCCCTCGAGAAGGAATTGGATATAATTTCTCTCTCTCTCTCTCTCTCTCATTTTGTGATATACATATATATTTATATAAAGTAAAAAGCTGTGTACATACGCCTCTACCGATGCTACATCTATGTATAAATGTACAGATGCGCGAATACGCTCGCATAAACACCCGATTCATATTAATTCGTTTAACGACTTAACGAAACTTTAAGTATAAAGCGTATCAATCGCAAAACTCCTTGCATCCCGTGTCGCTACGCGATTATTTATCAGAACATTTATATATGCGTTTCCGTTTCATTTTACCGTTGTAAACGAACTTATAAATAAACGATCTGACAAAAAAAATCATAATTTAATTCAGTCGTATAAAAAAATGCCCATTGGTATACACGGTAATGGGCGATTTTCTTGCATTTTTATGGTTGATTTCTTATACTGTGTGTTGGCACTATTATTCGTAAAAATATTAGCAAAAAATCTATAATATTAATCATTGAGAGAAATTTCATATTGTTAATATTTAGAATAATTATGAACTTGTTGAATGTAGATCTGAATATAATATACTTGCTTTGAAAAGATGTCGTAACAATTGCCCAGATAAAGAATTTTATTGACAAAAAAAATGTTAAATGTCGAATATTTTGCGGCATAAATATGAATCATTATTTGCGCAACGAATTGACAAGATCGTGTCATATATCTATGCATATACATATATTTGTCGCATATAATCCATAATATACGATATTAATGATATCAATATAAAATTTGCATGGCTTTCGATTGTTATTCATGCCGAATAATATTCAATTTTGGGAATTAATAATCAATTTTTGCAAGTCTTATTTCAGATATGAGTCGATCAACTCTTCGTTGCGATCTACTTTAAATCCGAACAGCATCTAGACTTTTAGCCCGGTAATCATCTGAGAATAACATTGTCGAAAGTTAGGTCTCTGTTCTCGCGTTGGGTGCCGGATTTTTTGAATGGATTCCATGGAAGCCTCCTAACTACGTGCGCCGTAGTGACGGATCCCGCCGGGCTCGGTTGACCGGAAGACACTCCAGAGGAACTACTCGCCGAAACGCTGCCCTTATCGTGGTGATTGTTGGGTTTCCCTGGTTTCTAAAATAATTATATAGTTCCTACCGTCGTATTTTTTCATATTCATTTAAATGATTTTTCGAAAGAGTGCTCTAATTGTGATTATCATTTTGATCAAGAAGAAAATAATATGGCGGTAATAGACAAATAGAAAAGCTGAGTCTCTGATTAATAGTATCGCTGTGCATGCTCTTAAAAATATTTCTTTCTAATAATTCTCTAATTTTCTAATAATTAAAATACCGCCCGTATCACGCATTACTATATGTATTTTCTTTATTAGAGTGATATCAATTATAGATTTTATCATTCACCTTTAAATAATTTCTGTCCATTGGTGTGACCAACTTCAAATTTATAAAGTCACCGCATTGTTTTATCATCCGTACAACTTGCTCGTGAGATGCCCACTTGACGTCTTTGTCGCCAATGCCGACTATGAAATCACCCTCCTTCATTCCGCCTACCTGAAATAAAAAATAGTCCTCTCGTCATTAATCGCTGTCATAGTTATTATTAAAAAAAGAAGCAAATTAAAGAGAATTGTACTATTAGATTATAGATTTAATTAATTATAACCGATGAAAGTTCGTTAATAAATATATTCTTACATCAGCTAGCGAATTATGATCGACGGCAGCTATTATCACCGGAGCGTCGCCGCGTACACTAAATCCAAAACCTTCGCCGTCAGGACCCCTTTGAAGCTGCACCAATCGCGGCGCGGTCCAGTGTCGTTTGGCCGAAAATATTGCTACGGGTCCCAACGATCTGAAAAGATCATCCACTCCGTGCTGTCCAAAATCCGGATGAGTAATGCTAAGTTGAAATTTCGTGGAAGCTATTTGCAAATAGAAAATAACAAAATTGAAAATTTTTATATTTTCAGATTACCTTTTTTATATATCTGTTTTTTTGTTTTTTTTTTTGTTTTTTTTTTTACCGAAATACAGGAAACAAAATTAAATTATAGCAACTGATATATTTTTCGAATTTGTTTAAAAAATATCGTACCAATTATATCTGGCGGATCCAACAGTTCTCGAAAATCATCTTCGTTGCCGAATCTGTTATAACTGTCGAGTGTTGCTTCTTGTGCTTTTTTCAAAACTCTCGCCAATGCTTGTTTACCCTTCAGATCGCGGCACATTCTCTGCAGTCGTTGACTCTCATCGTGCAAAACAAGAGCTTCTCTGAGATGGGCTTTGCCTGCGATGAAAGATTCTTTTCGTGATATATTCGTTCTTTGTACTTATAAAGAACTGTTAATATTAGAATGAATAAAAAACTTTGAAAATATAAAAAAATTTGAAGATATAAAAAAACAGTATTGTATACATCAATTTGAATAACAAAATAAATAAGTAGATATAAACATTAAACAAAATAGTGAGAGTTCAATACCCAATAATTTCCTTTCGTTGTCATCTCTGGGAACAATTATGTCCAATTGAGTCTTCCCATCGCTTTTCTGAATGTGCTCCAATGTGAGCCTAGTTTCTACACGAAACTCGACGATCGGTCTGTCCAGCAGACCAACCGCGAGATGTTTGTGAGCAAGGGCGAGATAATGCTCGCGCTTCACCAGTATCAGTGAAATCCAAGTCTCTGGGACATAGTCACGAACCGGCTCGCGCGATATCAATCCGTGGACATCATTGTATATTGCCGCAACCTAGATTAATTATCTCGATGATTCACTCATATTTATCGCACCGATAATCGTAAGACAGTTAATCAGGATTTTTTTTTTTACCTGGGCAGCCTCTTGAGCAAGATCCAAGCAGACATCGATGTTTCTACCGTCTCTAGATTGAAGTTCTAACTTTTCGAAGAGACACTCTCTTGCCTGAGCCTAAAAACATGAGAGCATGAAATGAATTAATCGTTAATAGCAAAATATAGCGCATACAATGCAATAGAAAATTCTTAATTGCAAAATAATTTATAATTTTTTATTTAAACTTTGAAAGAACAATTCTAGAAGTAAAAATATATATACAAATAAAAGATATATGTTTATTAAGAATAAAGTATATTATTAAAAATTCTCTGTAAATGTATATATAATGTATAAAATATAAATATAATATAATATACATATATATAAATTAAATATATATGCAAAAAATATATGCATAATTAAAAAAAGAAGTAAAAAAGATAAGGCAAGAAAAGAATTTGATTCCAAAAAGAAACAAGTGGCTGATTACGAGGCGAGAATAAAAATTTACCAGCATCAGTTGCACAAGCATTTCCAACATATCTGGACCCAAATCCATACTCGGTGCATTCGTGAAATTTTCGTGGATATACCGAAAAGTACCGGCTGCCCGCAGAAAAGCATCGACCGCCTGATCGAGTCCTCGAGCGGTTAAACGATCCTGCTTAGCAGCCAATTGTGTGTAGAGTGCACCGGCATTAAAGAGAATCGAAGCCTTCTCAAAGGCGACAGTTCGCTGGCAACTCGGCACTCCTGTTAAGGAATCGAACCATTCGAAGTAGATGCCGAGGCTTCTATCGGGTGGAAAGAATCGCCTCTCTATGAAGTAGAGCTGATTGTAATAACGCAGGAGCAACGCGATGCCTGCAGAGTCTCTAGTCGGTGTCCTCGTAGCCTATGAGTGCGCGGATTGAAATTTTTTAACATTTATATACTTGCGATATACTATCAAAATTAAACTTAACTTAAATTTGTCCACATTTTAAGATAATATTCAAATCATTATGATTAAAATTAGAGACGGACAATTAAAAAATTTATGTAAAATCCTCCAATAAGAAATTTTTACTTGTTATAAATAAGATAGGACAAGAGATCTTTTTGATATTTTTTACAAATTCATATGATTACTATATGAGAAAAAAAATATACTATTTATATACCTGTCTAGTTTCCATTAAATCTGCTATAGCTTCTTCGTAGTTTTCGCCATCTTCACTATAATGCTCCAAGATAAAGTCCTAAACGAGAAAAAAAGATCGTTTACGTAGGGCAATCGATAATTCGTGACACGTGCATGTAGAACATGGAATCGCAGCACGTGACCAACAATATTAAATCGATGTCTTCATAGCAACTACAAGACTTTTCCAGTTAATGTGTGTTTGCGCGTTCCTTCTTGAGATGTGCTTGCGAATTTTCTTCTCGTATTAATAATTCTCGTCAAAGTTCGAAACCAACAAAAAATAAAAATGGTAAAAATCACCCTTGAATTAATACGAAAACGCTCAGAGCACAACGAGGGTGAAATATCGACGTTGGAAGAGATAGCTTTGCACCAAGAAAATATCGATAAAATCCAGCTAATAGATAGACATTGCCGGCATCTCAAGATCCTCTTGTTACAGAATAATCTTATATCAAAAATAGAAAATCTGAGTATGCTTAAGAGATTGGAATACTTGAATTTGGCTCTTAATAACATCGAGGTTATCGAGAATCTGGAGGGATTAGAAAGCTTAAAGAAATTAGATCTCACCGTCAATTTCATCGGCAATTTACAGAGTGTAAAAAATCTCAGGTATGTTGTTTCATAAATAATATTTATCGTCAATATATGTACATATATTTGATTGAAAAGCACAATTCATTGATGTTTTGTCAAATTATATATGTAAAGTAACAAATAATATATTTATAATATTATTCTCTCTCATAACATTTTATTTATATTAAATTTATTATATATTTATAATAAATAANNAAATATATAATAAATTTTTCAATAAAAAAAGTTAGTATAAAAATATCTTCTATTCTAAATATTTATTCTCTAAGAATTAAATAATAAACAAAAATAATTAATATTCTTAATATATTGCCGACTCAACACACATATCTCGTGTTTCTCTTAGGTGCAATGAGAATCTGGAGCAACTGATTTTAATGGGAAACCCGTGCGCGGATTATGAATATTACAGACAATACATTGTGGCGATTCTGCCGCAATTGAGAGAGCTCGACATGCAAGAGATCGAAAGATCAGAGCGTATCAAGGCGTTACAGATTTACGCGCGAGCGCGAGACGACGTTATCGAGAGTTATCGACGTTACGAGAAAACCAGGATACTCGAACGGACACGTCGTAATGCTGCACTTGAAATGACAGAGATAAAGACGGTAATTTTTTCTCAATGACGTGTATGAGTGATAGGCGTCGTGACGATAATTAAATTGCTGGATACAGATCAGTTATATTATCCAATAATTATTTAAATATTATTGAAGTGTATTCTACTTGCATTTAATACACAAGGTCGTAACAATTAGCATAAATCTTTATGTTAATTTATTAAAGAAGTTTCTCAGAACAGTTTGATTTGAATTGCAAAAGGCTTTAAAGAAGGCTACAAATTTTTTTTTTTTTTTAGTTCAGCCATATATATGAGTAAACATTTTTTAAACAATCTGTTAGCACGTGAGCAGTTACATTGCAGGCTCATTTAAGTAAGAAAAATGCAAATAAGAGCAAACATTATCTCCTTTAGAATACTATAGGAGAGGAAGAGGAAAATGTAAAGAATGAACGAAGCGAGAACGCAAATACAGAAGAGGATGACGAAGCGGAGAACGAACGTTTCTGGAAACAGCCTAGTTATCATACGCCGGAAGATAGGGTTGCCATCGCTGAACGATCCTTAAAGAAACAAGAGATGAGAAATCGCTCTTCGGATAAGAATAATGATCGTCCAAAACGCGTGCTGAAATTGTTTGCCCCAAACGGAAGAGCTTATAATATAAATCAAGCGAAAGTGTCATTCAAGTTAAACGATGAAGATGATCCCGACTTTGTTGTTCTCGAAGTCTCCGTTTACAGGTAGTCATTGACGTAATACAATATACATTGTGCTAAATAACAACATGTATTATATCCATGCAATAGATAATTAGGTGAATAAGTGCAAAAAAATATATATTGTGACAACTTATTTCATAAAAAATTTATCAGCGCGTTTCAAGATTAAATAATCAATTTCTAATGCATCTATAATTATATCTGAATAATTATTAATATAATTTTGTCTGTTTGTGCTTTTAACAAATTTATCATAACTTACTAAGAATGTTCAATCTATTCTTATCGCATATTTCTTTCTCAAATTTGTAGACACTTAGATACTTCTTACGTCGACGTCGACGTAAATCCGACTTACGTGCGAGTTATCATAAAAGGAAAGATTCTGCAGTTGACTCTGCCTTGCGAGGTATCGGTCGAGAAAAGTAATGTTCGACGGAATACAATTACCGGAAACTTGGTGATCAATATGGCCCGCTTGAACTCGTGCAAAACAATCGTAAAAAAGGATGAATCGATGAAAAAAGAAGAATCCAAGCGCGAAAGAAAGATCCTTACAGTTCGAGCGCCTGTAATATCTCGGCGAGCTTTCCTCGAGATCGGTCCATCCTCGGATATTCATGATTTTCTTATGGTAACCAAAGATCCCGCGAAACGAGCTCAAACGAATGAGAGAGATCTCGTGAAGGAAGAGAAAAACGTCGAAAATTTCGAAGACAATCCGGACGTACCGCCTCTCGAATAAACAGGGATAACAAGAACAATTGTGACGAACGAAAAATCATAATCATTGAGTATCACGATGATCCTGAAAATTGATCATCGCGTTGAATCAGGACTTACCTTGAACGGATCCTGAAAGTCGATATCTTTGGTTTCTTTCAGTCCCAGTGGTATCATCGGCATAATAGGCTCAATGCTGAAAGAAGAAACAGTTCGATGGAATATCTACATCTCGTTATATATGTCAGTAAAGCTCATAATTCTCGCTAAACTTACCCGTCGACATTTTGATACAATTCCACTGAGCTGTTTAATTCGGCGAGCTGTTCTTTCAACAGCTGCAGATTTGAATTGACGAAGCTTAGTTCCAAAGCGACGGTCTCCTTCAGTTTTCTGTTTGTAGTTGCCCTGTAACGAAATTAACAAAAAGTAAATGCAAATGTAAATGCGTTATCTATTTTTAGTTGTACAGTGTAAGTCTATAGTAAAACAGTACATACAGTGTACAGTAAAATCTCATTTTATATGACATTTTTTATTTGTATGATCGTAACTGTGATTATTAATTTAGGATTTTATTTAGAATTTGTATACAGGGTGTCCCAAAATAACTGAATAACCCTTCTAATAGCAGATTCTTTGCGTAATTTGGCGGTGATTTTTTCATAGCAAAAATATCGAGGCAATATGAATAAATTTGTTTATAATTGTACTTTCTGCTGCGTTAACGGAGGTTTTACGTTTCAAAAAATTGGTTAATCATCGCATGTTTCGTTGTGTTAGCGGTTGTCTGAGCGCAAAAGTTATTTTGACAGTTTTGAAGAAGATAGTTTTTTAAATGTGTATAATTGTATTTTATTTGTTCTTAATATGTATAAATATATATTAGTAAATAATCGTCATGCGCGCATATAGTATAGTATATCGTTACAGTACGTAAAATGTTTCCATATCAAAATAATAATAACACGCGGTGCTCGGTTTTTGCGACATATAGCGCGCTAATGTTTACGTGCCTCGATTCTGTTATCATTCGCGTGACAACACTTGAGCAGGAAAGTAAGTGCGAGACGCTCCGTCCAATTCCTTTTCTAAACGCGATCGCGATCAGTATCGGAAAATTATTTGTTATCATAATATAATTAATAATTAATTAACATTAATAAATAATATGTAAATACATACATACATATCGCAATCATATATACATGTATATTACAATAGGTTTCAAAGCGTATATTTCGTCATAATTTATTCATTTAATCAAGTAAGAATCGAAGTAATAGAAAATCAAATTATAAATTATTTTGTTTTGTTACGATTTTTAGAGACAATACTTATTTCCTTAATACGACATAGAATCAAATCTTACTTTGTCCGCGATGCTTTATCATTTAACACTTTCCAACGATCTAAATATAAGTCTGATTAAAAACGTGAAGCAAAACAATCAAATCGTAAGTCCGAGTAATTAATATAATGATAAGCTCCGTGATACATCAATCGTTTAATAAATAATTGATCAATAAAAATTAAAATATATATATAATTTAATATTTCGCATATATATATATATATATATGTCATAGTACGTAAAATATTTCGGCAGCGAATTATCAATAACATAATATTGGCCTTGGCGACGTATAGCGCTCTATTGTTTATGTTTATATTGTTTATATGTTACGGTCTTGTTATCATTCGTACGGCGATACATGAACAGTAATGTAGTAGTGTGTGAGACGCTCTGTCAAATTCCTTTTCAACGCAATCGCGACAAGTATCGGGAGATACTGATACTGTATCTCGTTGCTCTGTTTAACGCAATATTTACCCGGGAGATGTGAACAGTGAGCAGTGAGCAGACATTTTTTATTAAGAAAAAATTTATTCCGAATTGCCCAGAGAATCTGCTATTAAAAAGACATCCGATGGTTTTGTGTTGTGTGGGATATTTTTTAAAATTATATAAATCATGGAACGCCCGTGCTCACGCGTTTTGCATTTTTACTATATTCAATTACATTTATTTAATATAATAATTACATTTATACAATTATAAAATTACGTATAAATATTTAAACAATCAAATATTAATATAAGTTATTTAAGAGATATGCGTAAGAACACTTACTTGAAAAGATTCTCGGCACCTGCTCGTAGCCGCAGCTCCTTGTTGATCTCTTGGTTGAGCTTACTCCGCTTGTTTTGCAGCTTTCCTCTGCAGGTCGCTACCCTCGGATCCGAACCCTGCGAACCATGAAACGCATAGTTAGCGATACCTTCGACGCATCATATATGGCCCGTAATCACATAATCCGCAAGGATTGCCGCAACGATAAAGACCAGTTCCGCTAATCACCTTGATCAACCTAACTCTGCCCAGCGATTATCTAGTCTTTTTTTTTTCAGATCATAGTTTAAACCAGTCTTTAGGTGAGAATAGAAAATTTTCTTTGTTAGGTCTATATTGAAATATATGATGTAAATTCCACACAAAAATTCTAGAAAGATTTTTTTCGATGATATTTATCGAGAGTATCTTATATTTAGGGGTTCCAACATCAATTAAAGTTAATATATCCTGATCATTCATTCAATTATATCCTTCTGTTTATATTACACGTAAGAGTATAATATTAAAAAAACATCGATCCATGATTAATTAATTCATATTATAAATATAGCAGCACATCTTCATTCGAATATACTTATTTGCCACATTTAAATAAACCCCCCCATTTTTAATACTAATTTAATTTCCTACATAACACACATACATACAGAAAGAAGAAATATGATAGAATACAATTTATAATTACACATTTATGATAATTATTTATAGTTATAAAAAAGATTATGAGATGGTCATGCCTTTGATATCATCCAATGTAATATCTTTTAAAAGAAGTTATTTCAGATTATGCACAACATAGATCATAAAAATTAATATATTACCTGATAATTAATACCAGGATATCACAAAATTAATATACATATTATAGGAGTTTATTTCTTATATCAAGATTTGAAACTATATATATATAAAAGATGATTGCATAAACAGACATTCACAGAGATTCAGAGAATAAACGCTTAGTAAATATAATACTTAAGGATGCCAAAACAATCAATCTGCCATTGTACAAAGCGAAAGAAAAAAAAAAAAATAGAAAAAAATACGGTTTCATGGCTGTTAACACGCAGAGATTACTCGTCGGAAGAAGCCACGTCGACCTCGAGACCGCCGTGTGCAGCCGACTGTCAAGTTCGACTTCCTTTGCTCCTTACCCCGAACCGGAAGCATCTCCTCATGATAGAGTCCGGCGTGGTGATTCTCGCATTTCGCGCACTCCGCACCGTGCCACCGCTATCCTTTCTTCTGTCGGTCGCCCTTCTCCCGTCCTTCTCGTCCCTCGTGGTCTCGCCCGGAACGACCATCTTCGCATCCGAGGACGCGATCGCACGATCTCTCGGTAACGGGCAGTAGTGCACCCACTTCAGCATGATCGCGAATGCGCTGATTTATTCAGTAATCTCGATCGTACCATCGGAGATACTGTTCTGAGACGCGGGCAAAGATACGGTATTTCCTAGTGGCCGACTATTATTACGTCAACGAAATGGAATATGAAGAAGATGAGACATCCAGAAAATCTGATGTATGAAATTTGAATTGATGTGCCGATTAGTAATCTTCGCGCTTCATTATTATAGAATTTTGTAATGTTTATATCAAATAATAAAAAGTTTATATATTTTAGCAAATTTGGAGGTAATCTTTCCCTTGTGGGAATTTTGGAGCAAAGTATTACGGCCATATTTTTTATTACAGCTAATTAAAGGCTTGCAAAATAAATTTTTCATTAACGCGGTAAGCAAATATTCCTTACTTAATGTCAAGTTATTCTAACAGAATTTTTTATTGACACTGGGTTATAAATATATTGTATTTATATAGTTTCTCTTCTTATATTCTCTATAGTTCTTTGAAAATGCTAGAAGTTAAAAAGCAGTTAATTAGTGCAATCAATTTCTATTTTTAAAAAAACTCGGTATCACATTATTAATTAAAAAGGAAACGAATATTACTTCTGTATCGCCTATTTATCTAGAAAAATAATAAGCCGGTTTAGTTTGCCGGTTATTCCACATTTGGCTTTATCCTTTTATCCTATCGAGTACATTTTACTGGTCTAAAAAATGCGGCAGCATTGAACTTGTCAAGAAGATGCAAAAGAGTTACATAATTTATAATTTCAAAAGCGATATTAAAATAGAGAATACTTTAGCTTCTTCCAAAAGAAATACAAATTCTTTCGGAAATCATCATCGCAATTTAGCATGCATTTATCATCTCGCAGAATGCGATTATTGTGCGAAAGATTAAAGTAAAAAATCTTGATGTAATTTATTTTTCTTTCTTTTTTTTTGTATAATTTAAGCTAAATGAATGCGCAGTGTGATACTAAGGTCCACTTGACCGTATGTACTTGCTTTCACTACAAAAATGCAATAAAAATGCGGTTTACCACAAATGTTATACGTCGCATAAATTTAAGTGCAAATGATTTGCGTCGCCGAAACGATATGGCACGATGCTCGTCAATCTATAGTCGTGTCTTATCATCTTAAATAAAACACGGCTCTCTCTTCTCTCTTCTCTTCTTTCTTTTTCTTTGAAAAGATGTATTATGTGATGACACGGCTAATGTTCACACAGTGAAATTTCCGCAAAAAGAAGGCGCTAAAAGTAGATTAATGCAACTCGAATTGTGTTTTATCGAAAACGTGAGAATAAATTCTGCTAACATTTTAAATTTTTGATAAGACCCCATAATCTTGTTCGTTAATTCAATACAAACTATAAAATAGTTACAGATCGCAGAGAAAATACTGGATGGAGAAGTAGGTTATTTAGTTATGCATATAGAGATACATAACTAATGTAACTATCCAGCAAATCATAACTCTCTAATATTACTCTAATTTTATACCGAAAAATGTATTGAAATATATGTGATGAGTGTGAAATAAATAAAGTATTTGTTTTCGATTAAAGCAACGTTCTTTTTAAATATTTAATTTATATAATGTATTAATATAATTTAATTTAATTAAAAACATATATATATATAATAAACATAAGACTTTTTTTACACCTGCATCCTCAATTATCTAAGATTTGCATAAGATGGAGAAATGCTATGCAGTCAGTACTAATGTCTTTAATTAAACGTTATTAAATGATAGCGTAGTCAACATTTCTCTGTTGAATTACGAAAGTAACAAAAATAGAGAGCAGGATCATAAAGTGTAAGCAGTTTAGCCTTTAGATGTAACGGCGGGCTAGGTGTTCGCGTTACCGTAATTCCGTTCCACTCTACTTAATAAGCCATCTCGCTAACGCGATAAGCGCGATTCGAATGTAACGATAGGTTATCCATAACTGTCGTTTAACTCAACCAACGTAAAATTCAAAAGGCGCGTCCTGAACACTCCATTACCCTTGGATACAGTTTTGAAGTTACGAATTGTGTGCAATACCGTATCGCGACTTCATTATAATTTCATAACATCGTGCAAGTAGACGAATCGTCAGTTATGCGAATTCTTTTTTACATAATAGAAGGACGCGGTAAGGACTCGTCTCACAATGTTCGTGCATCGATCGTCGCGTAAAAAATTATTATTTTTTTTCTTTTACGTAAAGATAAAATGAGATATTGTTTTATTATCTTCTATAATTTTTTTGTCTTGCGCAAAGATAAGGCGAAATATTGCTTTATAAAAATTTTGCGATCTCTCTTTTCTAATCCTTTGATTGTATCAATGTAGACTTAAAAGCATAAACATTTATTATATTTGTTACATAAGCTGTGCAGATTAAATTTTATTTCGTATATATGTATGTTTTACGTTGATTAATTCATGAACTGACTTTTTCTTAATGCAATTATAGCAATTTGTTCAACCGCGAGAGAACAACGGCATATGTTATACTTTGTGAGGAAAAAATATGGTTTAAATAGGATATACAAGAGTTAAGTCGGTCAAATTAGAAAAGTTACAAGATCAATATTTCCCGTTCTACAGGAAATTGTAACATCGAATTTTTTATGATATAAATATTGGTAGTTTAAACATAAATATATATATATCCGTAATTTTAGAAAAAATATACAATTTTTATGTATGCAAATATTATACCTGCATTACAAATAAATATATTACGACACATTGGTATTTATATCATAAAAAACTCGATGTTACAATTTCCTGTAGAACGAGAAATACTGATCTTGTAATTTATATATATATATAAAGAGAGAGAGAGAGAGAGAGAGAGAGAGAGAGAAGAAATAGAGATGCAAAGAGCTGAACAAATTCTGAATCAATAGATATCGAATTATAATAATGTATATAATTGCATATTAACATATAAAATAAAATAAAGTTTTTGTTTTATTCTTACTGATCAATTAATTTGATCGATTATATCGATCTCGCTCTACGTATTCATACCAAAAAGAAAAAAAAAAGTTTAATCACGAAAGAAATTTGTCCCATCGAATCTTCATTGAGAAAGAATTGATCGTTAATTCGAACTATCGAACAATCTTCAATCGAAAGGAAATTCAAGAGTTTCAAGACACTGGATATGTCGCGGCGCGGATGCATATGCGACGTTAACGACTTTGACGGATGTTATCGCGCGCTAAATCTACCGTAACTCGCGCGTTATTAAACCTTGCGGCCCAGTAGCTGGTCGGTCGCGTAACTGTTTGCCAAGCGAATCGAAGACGAGGCCGATCGGAATTGGTATCGATGAACTATATAAATCGACATTGAGCGTCCGTGCGTAAAGAGCAACTTCCATCGTGAAACAGCTGAATCGTTAAAAACCCGCACGTATCAGTTACGGAATGTTCAATTAAATTTCGGAGTCCGCGCGGATAATGTTTCATTAAAACATCATCACCGTGATATAATGATATAATATCAAACGTTTCTTTTTAGAGATTGCTTATAAAATAATAATTTAGATATTATTCTTTTGTCATATGTAGAAATCATCCCTAGCAACAATCAATCACTAGATACATATTATAATAAATATACTATATATAAATAATAACTTTTACTAAACACATTATCAAAATATGCAATTATGCAATAAAAAAGAACTTTTTTATTACATCATTAAATAATATTATTTATTTATAGTAAGACAGTTATTATAAATAGAT